ATTCCTGTCCTGGCACACCCTTGATTTTACTGTTTCTGATGACAGATCCTGCTGCCTCAGCTTTCAGAAGGACACAGCGAGCCAACTGTGTTGAACCTGACCAGACCTGAAGCTCTGTGGGTGAACCTGACTTGAGGGGGTGTGGCTTTGGGGATCCAGCTGCACTGGAGACCTGACATCCCACTTATGCTCAGCCTGGGCTACGGCTACCACCCCAGCGTGACCAGCGACGATGCCCAAGCTCACCTCCTGCCAACAGCTATTCCAGGTAGTTCCACCACTGGGCCAGTTTCTTGAGCTGCTTCTTGGGGGATGTGACCAGCTTAAAACTTGAGAACCAAGGCCATAGGGAAAAAGAAAAACAGAAAAAACACTTGCTACATTCAGTTCTTATTTCTGTTGGTGGTATTATTACTATTACTAGGTGATATTAGGTGAACACTTGCCCTGAAGAAGCTGAGAAGCACTCACAGAACTGAACTCATTACAATCCTCATAATAGCCCTTAGGGATGAAGAAGAATAAAATTTCTACTTTTCAGATAAAAACAGAGAGGTTAAGTAACTGGCCCAAAGTCACACAGCCAAGAAGGGACAGAGTCAGAATTTGAGCACTAGTCAGTCTGACTTGGCAGCTGTGCTCAGCACCCTGACTTGGGAGTACCTCTTCTTCCATGCTCCTGGTCTCAGGAGGAGAGGGTACTCCTAGGACATCGGGGCAGTCATCAGGATCAGATTCCCTGCCAAGGCATCTTGGTGCCCCTCTCCCGTCATGTTAGTCCAGTTTCCATGAGGCTTCAGACTGACCCGGACCTCCGCTTCCTGCAGATGGGCTGTCCACATGGATCCTGAGCCCAGAGGACCTGCATTTTGGAGAAGGCATCTACTATCTGACTGTGATCCCCGAGTCTGACCTGGAGCCGGCCCCCGGCAGGGACTTCACAGTTGGCATCACCACCTTCCTGTCTCATTGTGTGTTCTGGGATGAGGTCCAGGGGTCTTGGGACAACTCCAGGTGCCAGGTAAGGAAAGGGAAGCAAAGAAGAAGGTGGTAGAGCTGAGACTCAAACCCAGGTCTGTCCCCAGAGCAAAAGCTCTAAGCGATGTGACGCACTGCTTCTCCAGAGCTCATGCCCTTGGAGGCATGGGGCCCTATTAATTGCAATCAGATCCCTGTCTCAGTGCAGCTCAGCTCTGCCTGCAAGGACCCAAGCCCGTGACACTGTCCTGGTGACAGACATTGGCTTTGAGGCCATCAGAAGCCATCCCTGAGGTATCAGTGTCCCCCTTCCCTCTTCCGTGCCTTTGCATATGCTGCTGTCTCCCCCAGGACACCCTTTTTCCCTAACCCCCCTGGAAAACTCCCATTCACCCTTCAATCTCCCAACCCACTGCCACCTTCTCTGGGTGGCAGGTGTTTGCAGTCTCCCTCTGCTGGACTTCCATACCCTCCCCAAGAACAGCAACCTCCACGTCTAGTTGAAATTTGTCACACACCTGTCTCCATCCCCTGCACCATCTTTCCTTCATTCTACAAACATTCACCAGGTGCAAGGCCAACTGATAGGGATACAATGATGAGAAAAACCAGTGAGCTTTCAGTCTAGCAGAGGACACAGACAAGAAGCAAATGGCACATATGTCCAATGACAACAGTCATAAGTAGTGTAAGAAGCCAGGTCCCAGCAGAGCCACAGAAGGGGACTTAAAGCCAAGCTCCTTCCGGGTTTGTTTCTGCTGCATCTTTGGCTTCCTTGTCAACTCCTGCTTCCAGCTGCCACACAGAGGGAGCCCCCCCGCAAAGTGCCAAGAAGAGACAAAGGCACGTTGAGATGTCCAAGAGGCAGTGGGTCCCCCACACCTGAAGCACAGGTCTTTGTACCTCGTGGACGAGACCCTGGGTGTGTTGCAACCTTTTAGAGTCCTCGCTACCAAAAGCTTGTCTGATCCCCACGTTGCTGGCAGAATACCCGCTGCAGGCTGCCTTCCGAGGCCGGGGCTCAGAACAGGATGGTGCAGGGGCTGGCGGCACTGGCTCTGCCATCAGACAGACGGGTCCAATCCCACGTCATCAGTACTTGCAAGGTGACCTTGGACAAGGCACCCCACCTCTCTGAACTTTCCCATCTGCAAATGGGGATAAAGGATGGCTGCCACTTACCACAGGGTGGGACCTGGATGAGGTTAGGGGTATAAAGTACGTAATGTGGTGTCTGGCACACAGGAGGTGCTCCACAGATTAAAGTGATTGCTGTGTTAGACACTCTGAGCACAGAGAAGACAAAACTATATAAAATGGAAATCAAGGAAAACAATGGACATAGGATTCAGCATGCGGTTGGGTTGAGGGGGAGCATGGGGATGGATTGCAGGAGGACCACTTAGCTAAACGTAACTTATTGGAAAGTTCCTAGCTTTTGAGTGGAGTCATGGGTTCCCAGGTGCTTATTATGTTATTAAGAATATACAGCTACTAATACACACATACACGAATGTGGGGTGTACAAAAGAATGTGGGGACTTCCCTGGTGGCTCAGTGATTGAGAGTCCGCCTGCCGATGCAGGGAACACGGGTTCGTGCCCCGGTGAAGGAAGATCCCACATGCCGCGGAGCAGCTGGGCCCGTGAGCCATGGCCACTGAGCCTGCGCGTCTGGAGCCTGTGCTCCGCGACGGGAGAGGCCACAACAGTGAGAGGCCCGCGTACCGCAAAAAAACAACAACAACAACAACAACAATGTGGGAGCTGTGTTATAGTGCCAAAATTATATTAACCCAATACTGTGTACCTGATGCTCATTATATAGATGTTGATACAGATATACAGAGATCATTGAGGAGCCATAAACAAGTGAATTGGGAAAAAAAATAAGTAAATGCGATCACTAAGTTTGGATGGAAAACCACCACTGTATTCCCAAAATAACTAAAGAAAGTTCCAAATCTGTAAACTACAGACCTTATCAGGGGGGAAATGCAGAATTATTGCAAGGGGTTTGAGAACTGCATTCTTATTTGTACTTTTTCTCGAAGGATACTAAAGGTAAAACTACTGTCATGAGGGGATCTCATGAAAATTTTCCGGTCTTTCCAGATTAATTTATGGTTTTCAAAAGGACTCTCGTGCTGGAAAAGACTGGGAAAGCCACTGTCCTCCAGGTCTTTGTAAAAACCCAGGAGGGCAAAGATGTTAGGCATAAATCAGGTCTGGTCCCTGGGCTCCCAGTGCTGGGATGGTCTTGTCACTGGTACTTGCTTGGGGTTCTTCTCTGAACCAGCCCCACCCCTCCTGTGTGTGCCAAGGGTTCCTGTAAGACCCATGCTGTATGCCAAATGCTGACCAGGATTGGGAAACGGTGAGCAAACATGGAACTAAGACCCATGTGGAATCTGTCAATAAAGCAGTTGACGCCATAGCTGTTGGAGGGGTCGGCCTCTCTCGGTGGCTCGTTCAAGGTAAAAGAATTACCTGCTGGGATGTTTGGGCTGCTGCGGGCTCTTCCTCACCAGGTGCTGGGCACAGAACTTTCCGTATGCCAGTATTTTCTGTTGCCTCCTACCTTACCACCTCGTTGTGGACCCTGGAATGAAAAGGTAGTGCTGGGTTGTGGGTTTGAATTAAATCTTTACCCACCAAATGGCCCTGGGTGGATTGCAGGCTGGCTGGGGGCTTTAGGGAAGGACTGCCCCTAAGTGCAGAGTATGAATTAAGAGCTGGATGGGGGCCCTGCCTTGCCTCATCCCTGTCTCCTCCCTCCCCCAATGGCACTCCCCACACAGCCAGGGACCTCGTGCCCAAGTTCCATCTACACACCCCGTTTCCCCACATTTTGCCACCCTTGTGCCCAGGGATGGCCACAGCAGTAGCCAGTCCTCCACAGAAGGACGACCCTGAGGAATGGGTCCGGGAAGGCCCTGTAACAGGGAATTCTGAGGTCCAGGTCCCCAAACCACCTTCTAAAAGTGGGCGTGCCAGGGCCAGGACTAGATGAGGCAAGTGAGGCATCTCGAGTGCAAAATTTAAGCAGGGGATCTTTCTTGGGGTCACCTAGGACCTCGCCCTAGTCCTAGCTGAATGGTATGTGCTGTGGTGGGTATGCCCCGCCCCGCCCCCGACTCCTCATCCTGTGCAGAAGGGCGCAGCCTGAGGACGGCTAGACTGGGACTCTTCAAAGCATGAGCCCAGGACGGGGGTGCCGCAGGTGCCTCGATCTAAGGTGGGTAAAATTTAGAGAATTTTTTCCTGGTGCTGAGACACCAGCTTAGGATTTAAATATCTGTCCTTCCCTTTTTCTTGCATGGTTCCCCCAACCTCCGTCTTTTTTTTTGCTCTTCAGTGTAAGATGACCAACTGTCCCAGTTTGCCTGGGACTAAGGGGGCTTTCAGTGTGAGAAGCAGGAAAGTCTCTGGCAAACTGAGATGAGTTGGTCACCCTGAATGTCCTCTCGGCACCTTGCCCATTGCCTGGCCTGGAAGTAGCACCCAACAAATAGCTGCCCAGTGAATGAGCACCCGGTGGGAGAATGTAATGTAAGGATGCACACCAAATGTGTGATAATGGCTGCTTTTGGAGGCTGGCGGACAGAAGGGACTTCAATTTTACTCGTAATACTTCTTACCTAAAAAAGGAAAAGCAGACTGGCAAGATGGACACAGTTGCTCACTGAGGACGACAGGTGCAAAGATGCTTATTATAGACATTATTTTCTGCAATTTAAAATTAATTCTTAACTAAATAAAAAAGCCCAAAGGAATCCTGGAGCTGGTCTCCCAGCAGCCTCCCCAGCCCCTCCCCAGGACAGTGTCCCCCCCACATTTCTCCCCCCTTGAGCTCGGGCGGGCGGGGATGTGCTCCCTGAATATCCCTACCAGGGCCTCTCTGGGGTTGCGGGGGGCCACGGACCACCCGCTCCCAGATCCACTGCCTCTGCAACCACCTCACCTTCTTTGGAAGCACGCTCCTGGTCATGCCCAATGCCGTGGACGTCCGCCAGACCGCTGAGCTCTTTGCCACCTTCGCGGACAGCCTCGTGGTCGTGACCACCATAGGCTGCCTCTGTGTGGCCTACGTGCTGGTGGTGATCTGGGTGAGGAGGAAGGACGCTCAGGATCAGGCCAAGGTGAGGCTGCACAGTCCCCGGCAGCAGGAGGGAGGACAGGAGTGTCCCCTTGCAGGGGCTCCAGGGGATGGAGCCCAGGTGGGAAGCTGAGGGGCCAGCTGCAAATCCAGGCCTTGACCCATGGAGTCATCTCAGGTAAGCTGGCTCCTCAGCCTCTTGACCAGTAAAATGTCCTTGTTCATCAAAGTATCAGGAGGATTATGAAACTGACCTCTTATTGAGAATTTGCTATGTGCCAGGTACTACCCCCACTTAATGTTCATGATAGCCCCAAGGAGAAGGTACTGTGCTGAGAGTCCCCAAGACCACCCTCGAGTTCAGTGATTTGCTAGGACTCACAGAACTTAAAAAAGCCACTGTCCTTACGATTATGGTTTATTATAGTGAAAATTGTGCAAATTAAAATCAGCAAAGGAGGGGCTTCCCTGGTGGCGCAGTGGTTGGGGGTCCGCCTGCCGATGCGGGGGACGCGGGTTCGGGACATGGGTTCATGCCCCAGTCCAGGAAGATCCCACGTGCTGTGGAGCGGCTGGGCCCGTGAGCCATGGCCGCTGAGCTTGCATGTCTGGAACCTGTGTTCCACAACGGGAGAGGCTGCAGCAGTGAGAGGCCTGCTTACCACAAAAAAAAAAAAAAAAAAAATCAGCAGAGGAAAGGGTCCAGGAGGGATCAGGCAAGAGCTTCTAATATTCCTCTCCCAGTGGAGTCCTAGGGACAGATGAATTCTCCTAGCAATGACGTGTGACAGCACATGTGAAGCATGGCCAACCAGGAAAGCTCCCCTGAGCCTTGGTGCCCAGGGTTTTCTTGGGAGTAAGTCCCATAGGTATGGAGCCTGCATGACTGACTTCAGTTAGTCTCCAGCAACCACTGCTCCCCATGCCTGCCCAGGTCAGACTGACAGAGCGTGGCCCAAAGCTCTCACCACAGATCACATTGTTAGCACATACTGCCTGGGGTGGCCCAAGGCCCCACATAGTCAGACACTCTTATCATGCAGGCTATTTCAAGGACTTAGAGGTTATCTTCCACGAGCTGGCCAAAACCAGTCCATTCTTTGGAATGTGTGGGGTTTGGATAACCCAAGCCTGCTGAATTCACCCTTTACTGCACAGTACCTCTATCATTTTACAGAGGAGGCAAGTGAGGAGCAGAGAGGGCAATTAACTAGTCCAAAGCCACCTCCCCACCGGGGGTCAAAATTCGAACCCAGATCTGCCTGACAATAAGTCAGGTCTGAGGATAGAAACGAGATCAAACTATAACCATTTATGCAACCAACTGTGACAACAAAGTTCTGATTATTTTTCTGATACATGCATCATATCTGACACATAGTAGCCTTCAATAAACATTCATGAGTGACTGAGCGCACAAATGAATACAAGGATGCATTGTCACAAAGCTCTGAAACTTTCAGCATTCCCTACCGCCCCTATACACAGCAATACTTCTCAGCGTGTCAGGATGGTATGAAACTTAAAAAGATAAGAGTTGCCCCATTTATCCTGCTGCCTTTGATTTGCCCAAGGAATTTAACATTAATACATTAAGTCCCTCAGCTTTAGGTTCATTCCTGGGAAGCAGACTCTGAGATGCAGTTAAGTATACAGGGTGTTTACCAGGGAGTGCCTGGGATCAGCCCCTGGGCAGGGAGGGAAGGAGGCAGGATGGGCAGGGGGAGAAGTCAAGCTGGGATGCAGCCCACTGACAGCTGGGTGACCCCTTGGGGAGCTCTAGAACTGTCCTGAGTTGGGTTGAGAAGCCCAGGTCTTGATCTTGGGCAACACATCAATCTGTTCTTAGGTATCAGCCCCTCCAGGATGGGGCATGACCTTGACAGAGGCGACTCTTGCATTCCTGGCTACACCACCTCGGCAACTGGGAAAACAGCCCTCCATTGACAGGAGATCTGGGCAGCTCATCACAGAGCGCTCTGCAGCTCTGACCAACTCCTGCTATTTATTTTCTGCTAAAACAACTTAACATTCATTCCTTCTAAATTCCCTTAGAGGCACAATCTGGTTACCAAGGTTATGAGAAATTATTTATGAACAGAGTTTGCATTCATCAGCTCAAGCATCAAACATTCTCAGCTTAATACCAAGTTCATTTCCAATTTGACTACTTTGGGTGATATTTAATAATGAATGTATTTTTTTATTTTATAAGTTTTGGTTTTCACTTAAAACCCTGCTGTTGTAAAGAACAGTTCTCACCTGATAGAATGAATCAATAGCATACATAGTTTTGCTTTCCCCCTTTAATTGCCACGAATGCCCAACTCACTCTTGGCTGCTGTGCTGTGGATGAACCCACCAAGCAGAGCCCTCCTAATGCCATCCTTCTGTCCAGGTGAAGGTCACAGTGCTGGAGGACAATGACCCCTTTGCCCAGTACCACTACCTGGTGACAGTTTATACCAGACACCGGAGGGGGGCAGCCGCTTCCTCAAAGGTACCTGACCTGCAAGACACCTCGGTTGATCAGCACGTCCCACTCAGCAAAGCACCTGCCAGTCTGTTGTTGAGTTACTTTAGCCCAGTGGATTTTGTTGTAGGGTTTTTTCACTTTTGCTTTCTTTTTTTGAGAAAAGTATCTTTTTGCCAGACAAAATAACACCCTAAGCCCCAATATTTAAAAATATAAAGGAGGAGTGGATTAAGGGAGAGTTGGGGTCTGGTACTGTACTCACTGGTCTTTTCATTTAATCCTATTAAAAAATAATTCAGACAGCTGGTTACCTGCACGCAAATGTGCTCACATATGAAGAACAGTCAGTAGACTATTATCAATGAATAAAGAGGAAAACAGAATTTCTAAGAGAAAGGGGAGAAAGGAAAGAAACAAACAATGGCAACCATTTGAAAACAAGCCTTGAATTATGTTTTTTAGGAAAACTGACTAGCTGGTATCCATCTGTCCCTGAGAAGGCTGACTAGAGGTAATGAGGACACAATTCCATTTGTTTATGAATTCTCTGAAATCCTTAAATTTAGCTGTGGAGCACACAGCAGGTTGTCTCTGTCATGTCTCAGCATCCTTAGTTAAGTCTGGCCTCACCCTATCACTCATCAGAAGGTAGCATCCCCTGCAGCAGCTTCCAAGCTTCCTTTACTGAAACTGTGCTCCATGGAACTCCATGGAACACAGTTTGAGAACCACCGGCACTGTGTGTACTATCCTGGAGAAATCTCCATTGTTTTTTTGTTTTTGTTTTTTATTAATTAATTAATTTATTTTTTGGCTGAGTTGGGTCTTCGTTGCTGTGCCGGGCTTTCTCTAGTTGTGGCAAGCAGGGGCTACTCTTCATTGCAGTGTGAGGGCTTCTCATTGTGGTGGCTTCTCTTGTTGCGGAGCATGGGTTCTAGGCACGCGGGCTGCAATAGTTGTGGCTCGAGGGCTGTAGAGTGCAGGCTCAGTAGTTGTGGCCCACGGGCTTAGTTGCTCCACGGCATGTGGGATCCTCCCGGTCCAGGGCTTGAACCCGTGTCCCCTGCATTGGCAGGCAGATTCTTAACCACTGCACCACCAGGGAAGTCCCTGTTTTTAAAAAAACGACATTAGGCTCCACGAGAGCAGGACATGTGCCCACTTACAGTTTACTTTTATTTTTAAAATCTTATTTAAATCTTATTATTTTTATTTATGTATATATATATTTTTATTTTTTTATTTTTTTGCAGTACATGGGCCTCTCACTGCTGTGGCCTCTCCCGTTGAGGAGCACAGGCTCCGGACGCGCAGGCCCAGAGGCCATAGCTCACGGGCCCAGCCACTCCGCAGCATGTGGGATCCTCCTGGACCGGGACACGAACCCACGTCCCCTGCATCGGCAGGCGGACTCTCAACCACTGCGCCACCAGGGAAGCCCCTATTTATTTTTATTTAAATTTAAAAAAATTTTTATCGCTGCATCTTAGGGCCTCAACCAGCTAACATACAGTAAGTGCTCAGTAACTATTTGTTGAATAAATGCAGGAATCACTTTCATCCATCAAATGAAACATCCATCCCACTTCCATTTGACACTGAAGAGCTGACCTTACAGGGAAAGAAAGAATGAAAATCTGTGATCCACAGGCCATTTCTCTTCATGAAAAGTTGCAGTCACCTTTCAACTGATACTGTCTTAGTTCGGTTCTCCTGGCACAGTGGTTCTCAATTGGTTGGCCCCCAGGGACAGCTAGCAATGCTGGAAGTGGTTTTGGTTGTCACAACTTGGGAGAGGAAGAGATGCTACTGGCACCTAGCGAGTAGAGGCCAGGGATGGTGCTAAACATCCTGCAGCACACAGGACAGCCCCAGAGCAAGGAATTATCTGACTGAGAAAGTCTACAGTGGAGACTCTGCTGTAGAAGCCGACTCTGAAACAAGGATTCAAGCACAGGTAGTTGATTTGAGAGGGGATCCCAGGACACCACATACAGGAGTGGGAAGCCAGGTAGGGAAGGGAAGGAACAAATAAGGGGCGCATAATCAACCCCATTACCCCTGTGGGCAACTGCAGCCCAATCCCACTGGGGAACTGTGGAAAACAGTAAGGAACGTGGGCCTCAAAGTCATCCCAGCTGAGGACTAAGTGAACTGGGTTATTTATCCACCAATCCCACCAGGCATTGGTGGAAAATGGCTTGCAGGGGCCATCAGTTCTCTGCTACCTTCAACCTGCTGCTCTAACAGCCAAAGAAACCCCCAGAGAAAGAGGCACAGCTGCTGGCAGTTGGACGTGGGAACCCCACAGTGGTGAGGCTGAGTGACAGATGTCAGTGGGGCATAGGTGTCATCTGCTGTAGTTGGTTTTGGCTCAGGAAATCAGGCATGGCCACCAGCCATCACCGGGATGGCTTCAGAAAAATACAGATTCCTGAGCCCTGTGCCCAGTATTCTTGGTAGGTCTGGAGTGGGGCCTGGGAATATGTATTTTCAAAGTAGTGGGCAGTCATTCATTCCTGTCTCAGTGCCGGGAACTCTGGGAGGCACTGAGAATATAATCGCTAGGGAGAAAAACCAGTTCTTGCCCTACGGCCCTTTCAAATAAATATTTGAGAAGTTTGAAAAGGTCATCAGGAAGCATTTTATGAGTATAACTCATCTCAAAGATGTGAATGCAGATAGTGTCACCCCCAAATCTTCACACAACTGAAAAATAACTCTGGCAGGTCCAAGATGGGGGGAGAGGAGGTGAAAAGGCCATGCTTTGTTGGGTTCCACTGGCTTTTCAACACCGCCAGTGAAGCACGGGGCTCAGTTACCACATGGAGCTGGCCACTACTGGTCTCTGGATTTCAGGTGACTGTAAACCCTATATGGCCTGGATGGAGAGAGTGAGCCCCACCACCTGTCAGACCCCGACATCCCGGGTTTTGAGGGAGGAGGAGTGGATGTGTTCTTACCCTCCACCCTGCTTCCCCTGGGGGAGCTGAGAGGCCTGCGGCTATGGCATGACAACTCAGGGGACCAGCCATCCTGGTGAGTCAGGGGTGGGTAAACCACAAGCACCTACTAAGTGCCAGGACCAAGGCTGGGCATTGTGCATTTGCTGCTTTGCTGATCCTCACGAGCCTCTGTAAGACGCATAGAATGGATCCCCATTTCACAGATGAGGAAACCAAGGGTCAGAGAGGCCCACCAGTCCACAGGCCACACAATGCTAGTCCCTCCCTTGACACATCTGCAGCATCAACCTGTCATTTAGCCCTCCATTTCCCCATCTGTAAAATGGGATAGATGCCTATTGCAAAGACAAACCCTGCCCAATAGGAGGAAAGTAGATGAGACGTTGGGCTGATTCTCCAGTAGGAGACCTAAGAACAGCTCTTCTGCAGAGCACTAAGTTAAGTCTTCCTGTGCTTCTCTCACTGGATGCTCACAGTGACCCTCTGGAACAAGCACTGTTATTATCCTTGTTTTATAGGTGGGAAAATCTAAGCTCGGGAAAGATAACTGACTTGCCCAGGTCACACACCTGGCAAGCTCAGAGCCTAGACTGCTTACCACTGTCTGAGGCCAAAACTAGTGACCCAGATGGGTGGTCTCTAGCCTGAACACTCATCGGTGGCTGGCAGCTTTAGGAAAACACAGCATTTAGACCACTGTCTTTGACTCATCTAAGACAAAAACACTAATACATTAATGCTTTAAGATCCTCAGCTGTAGGGTTGGTTCCTGGGAAGCGGCTCTGAGATGGAGTTGAATATGGAGGCTGTTTATCCGAGGAGTGCCTGGGATCAGCCCCTGGGCAGGGAGGGAAGGAGGCAGGATGGGCAGAAGGACACAGACAGCTCAGCTGACCACACAGGGGGCTCTGGAGCTGTCCTGAGCTGGGCTGAGATGCCTGGGTTTTGATCACACCCAGGTTCTATACCCAAAGGTCACAGGGGATGTCAGCCTCCCCAGGAGGCTGTGTGACCTCAACAGAGGTAGCTCTTGCATGCCTGATGGGACTATCCTTCCTGAAAGGAGAAAAGGCATGTCAAGAGCTTCTTAGCACAGTCCCCATTGTGTAGTAAGTGCTCAATAAAGAGTGCCTCTTGTTATCATTACTCTTCTTTCCCTGTAAAGCAACTGCTGCTTGATCTGACCTCCCAGCAGAGGCAAGATGATTTCATTTCTTCCTGGGCCTCAAAGATCTAAATCAGGTTAGATGATTGCCACGAAGTGCTGAATGGATGGTAGGCTCATTCTCTGCATGGAAGCCCACAGGAGGACCGAGTTTTGCGCGCTCAAGCCTGCACCTCCCTACACACACGACAACCTGGCCTTCCTCACTTGTGAAGCCCGGTGACCCTGGGCTTGCTGCCCTGCATGAGGGTTCACAGTTTCAGAATGCACACTTTTGCAGCATATCTGTGAAAACCTGGCAGCCTCCAAGCTGGCGGCCTACACTAGCTGAACTCCCCACATGAGGCCAAATTCACCCACTGATTGGGGCATTTTGATCAAGTCACCAAGAGCAACCAAGAAAAATACAAAGTCTCTTTCCAAGAGTTCTCGTTCTTGGGCTCAGGCTTGGACCTTCATGGGGTCCAAATAAGTCTCATTCCCCCACCACATTATCCTCAAAAGTGTGGGTCCCTTCCAGGTACGTAAGCAGGGTGCTGGTGCATGACCTGGCAATGGACCAGAAGTGGTACTTCCTCTGCAACTCGTGGCTGTCCATCAATGTCGGAGACTGTGTCCTTGACAAGGTATTTCCAGTGGCCACAGAGCAGGACAGGAAATAATTCAGGTACTATATTTTTTCTTTGTAAGCAAATGCTCTTTACTTTGTTCTTTCATCTCTAGGGAAGTTGTGTTATAATTCAGTCACAGCCAAATAAAAGCACATTTCAGCTCGTGGGCCGGGGTAGCTCTCAGTGTGTGACATTAATAACCAGTTTTTCTTGTTGCAATTAAAGGGCCCTGAAGGGACATGGACCCTCCAAGACAGAATTATCTCCAGGGGGTGATAACAGTTATGGAACACTTATCCATATTTACTTACGAATGTCACAGAATAATATTGTTTACATGAGTGAACAGACTGATCTGAATGGTGATTCAACGTCTGGCCACCTGGAGCTTCTCCTTCATGTTGTTTTATCCTAGATGCATTTTTCAGCACGTTTCCCCTTGCTTTACTCACTCCCTCACCCCTTTTCCTGCCGTGCATCCTTCCACATCTGTCCCCAAACACAAATAAGCAGATACAAATGTACACACATGCACGTGCACACACACACACAACACCACAGATCGCTATTTTATAACTTTTAAAATGGCATGCTACTCTAAATATGTTGCCTTTTTTCTTTAATAATATATCATGCACATCCTTCCAGGAGGGTATGTTTGGGTCAAATTTTCCTTATTGGTTGCGTGATATTCCGCAGAATGGATGTCCCACAACCATTCTCCTATGGATGGGCACTCAGTCTGCTTCTAGTGCATTTACTGCAAGATGACTTTTCCTCCCAGCTGCCACTGTGAGCATCTCAGGCTCCAAGGGGGAAAAAGTCTGTATCAGAGAGACTTGGACCCCAAGAGAGGTATAACACAGACGTAGGCACGGATCACAAAGTCCCACACGCCTGCTGCTGACTTGCCGCGTGACCTTGGATATGTCACCGCACCTCTCCAGGTCTCAGCTTCCGCATCTGAAAGATGATGAGTTCAATGTGCCTGCCCCATAGGGGGTCCCAGGTCCCATGAAACGATGTAGTAATGTGCTTGACACACTACGCGGCTCACACTAAGTACTCAATTACAGAAGCAGGTATTATCTCCAAGTGCATTAGCACATGTGATGCCTAGAAACTCGGCAAGGAGCTCTCTGAAGGCAAAAGCTCCTCATCCCTCCCGTGAATCCCTGGTGCCCAGCAGAGAGCCTGGGACACAGCACCAGGGGCATCAAATATTTGTTGAATAAGACGAATAACATGGACAATTACTGTTGTTGGCAACTGACCTCTCTCTTTCTGCACCTTTACTCTGAGTCCAGGCCACCGGAACACCCCCGAGTGACAAAGCATTGTACAACCCTGGAGTGTTCTGGCATTGACCAATCAGGACAGGTGGCAACTGGGAATCTCTACTCTGGATACTCTTGGCAGAATCTGGGCCTTTGAAGAGCTCCTGTGGTTAAACTACATTCTACTCATAGGGAAATAATACAGATTCCTTAGGAGAATGTGGTGCCATTTTCAGAAACCCTGTCTCACAATTTTTATTCTCTCAAACTGAGTCTGAACCCAAAGCCTGGGATTTTTAACCACTATTCTCTAATGCCCTAATTATAACAAAACAAATAATATTAGAGTTATATATTATTATTTAAAAATTATAACAAAAATTATTGCTAACACTGATGAACACTCACCTATATGCCAGCTACTTTGCCAAATGCTTTACAAAAATTATCGTCTTTAATCCTTTCAGCAATCCAGTGAGGCAGGTTCTGTCATTACCCCCATTTTACAGATGAGTAAACTGAGGTACAAAGAGTACAAAGAGCTTCCAGTTATGATCTCCCAGTGGAGTCTGGACAGCGCTCACTCCTCCTGACAATGATGTGTGACAACACGCATAGAGTAATGCCAACCAGGGATGCTCACCCGAGCCTTGGTGTCCAAAGTTTTTATTGGGGCATGCTCACATAGACATGGCTGACCCCAGTATGGCTGACCTTAGCCTCCAGCCCCTCCAGAGGTTGAGGTGATATGGTGCAACCAAGGCCCCCACCATAAATCACATTGTTAGCATAGACTATATGGTGTGGCCCAAGATCCCAGGTAAACAAAGGCATACCCACCAGGCAGGACAGCCCAAGGGCTTAGTGGTCACCTCCCAGGAGCCACTCAAGGGGCAGACCTCTTTGGGCAAGGTTAACCCTTACTGCACAGCCACCTTCTGGAAGGGGTGGAGGGGACTCTCCCCTTGACCCCTTCCCTCCATCTGCTCCAGGTAAAATCGAATTCACTTGGCAGGAAGTGATGATTGAGCTGGATGATTGGATTGGGCTCCTCATGTTTCCCATCAACCTCCTGATCGTTCAGATTTTTTGGAACAGCCGTCCTTGGGTAACCAAGGAGCAAAACACTGGGAAACGGGATGGGGGGCCCCTCAGCCTGGCCCCCTCACCGCAGCCTGTGGAGGATGGTCTTCTGACACCTGAAGCAGTGACCAAGGCAGGTCCTCAACCCTGGCAGTGTGGGGAGCTCTAGCCTGTGCAGAAGGGGGTGGGGACTGGGGTTTGAGGCCTACAACCCACGTTGTTGGACAGCATCAGTCACTAAGATTCGTCAACTGCATACACATGCACATACACATATGTGCACCCGGTACACACATATACCTACACATGCATGCATACACACATGCCACACGTGCATTCACCACGCACACACCTACAAACGTGTACACATGTGCACGTGTACACACATATACACATATATCTGCACAGTGCACACATGTACACATACGCACACACCTACACATGAATGCATACACACATGCCACGTGTACACATCCACATACACCCCACACCTACATGTACATGCGTGCACATGTACACACATAAGCACACCTGAAAACACACCTGCACAACCTGCACACATACATGTACACACAAGTGCACACATGCCACATACACATGTTTACATGCATGCACACAAAGGCACATATATCCAGGCAAACACCTACAACATATACACACATGCACACACATTTTTGTGTACCTACTATGTACAAAATATTATACTTTCAAACAGATTGCAGGCTGGAAGCACACAGAAAGAATTCCCTCTGCATCCATGCACACGTTAAGCATTTATTGAGCACCTACTATGTTCCACACTTCAAGGAATACAGCCTGGAACGTATCAGTTGAAATCCTAGAAGAGGGATTTTTATGGGGGACAAAACAGAAGCTCAGGGTGGCCCAAAGTCATGTCTCAGTAGGCAGAGCTGGGATTCAGACCCAGATTGTCCAGCCCCAGGGCGAGTGCTCTTGACCACTCTGCTGCCCCCTCATCTGTAGCTCACGTCCCCTTCCCCCTGGGTGACTTGCAGGATTTGTGGAGACTCGTCAGCTCCTTGTTCAAAGCTCTGAAGGTGCCACCCCCTTGCTCGGGCTGGGACTTCGTGAACTCAATGGACATCAACCAACTGCTGGCCTTGGTGGAAGACGTCGTCTGTCAGCAGAACAAAGCAGGGCAGGTATTCTGGAAGGAAGCCAGCCAGACAGGGGGCCCTTTAACACTCACTCTTGAGGCTGTGCAAGTGAAAGGTGAGTCCTAACATTTCTGGGCCGAGAGGGGGCATGTTGGAGCCAGGAGGATGCAGGACCAAGGGCCACGTCTGTATCACTATCACAAGGGAGTCAAGAAGTCCTACCGGGGGTCTCCCTCACCAGCCTCCACTCCAACCACTCGCCACCGCCTCCCTCGCAGTACCACAGGCATCCTGCTCTCCACACAACGCCAAGCTGCCTTCCCACTAAGGCCTGCACACATGCTTGTCCTCTGATCTAGAATGTTCTTTCTCCTCTCTTCACTTGGCCAATGCCTACTCAGATTTTATTCTTGGCTGATGTGTCCCTTCCTCAGGGGAGCAACCCAACCTCCGAGCCCACAACAGGGTCTCCAACCATGTGCTCTTTAGCCCCTAAGCATCTCTTGCACTGCTTTCACATTGCTTGTTGCCAAATCATGAATTGTGTGAAGAGCTGCACATATGTATTGCACATTATTCTGGTTTGAACTAGTCTCTCTGGCTCTGCTCTTGCCCCTTTCCTTTCCATCTTCCACCCAGATCGCTGCCTCCAGTGTTTAGATCAGGTTGTCCAACAGAACTTCCCACAGTGACAGAAATGGTCTATATCTGCACTGACCAATATGGCAGCCACTAGCCACATGTAGCTATTGACACTTGAAATGTAGCTAGTGTGACTAGGGAACTAAATTTTTTATTTTAATTTTAAATTTTATAAATAAGTTCATAAAAAAAACTAAACCATATATATCTTCCCATAAAAACCTGTTCCTCGGGGCTTCCCTGGTGGTGCAGTGGTTGAGAGTTCGCCTGCTGATGCAGGGGACACGGGTTCGTGCCCCGGTCTGGGAGGATCCCACATGCCGCGGAGCGGCTGGGCCAGTGAGCCATGGCCGCTGGGCCTGCGCGTCTGGAGCCTGTGCTCCGCGGCGGGAGAGGCCACGGCAGTGAGAGGCCCGCATACCGCAAAA